GGTCCTCTAAACTGGGACCCAGCAAGTCCATCACTAACACATTGTATTCCTTTTCCTGGCCAAACCATCTGTTTAGGAAACATAACAACAAAAGCAAATTATTTTAAAAGGACTGTTAAGTCAAGAGTGGCACACAATAATAATTTATTATGGTTATTACTATGCATCTAACACTCCAGTTTTTGCAGCCAATAATACTGCAATAGCTGAAAGATAAATGATAGAATGCTGAGTTTTACAGGGAATAATTTAATGACGGTCCTTACACAGCATGCCAAGAAAGTAGTGTCTGATGGCCTGGGGCTAGTGAATTTTGTTATCGGGCTAGTGAATTCTGTTTTTAACTTGCCCAACGGGCAAGTGATGTTTTTTGAGGAACTCCAATGACGGAAGAACTGTGAAATCAATTCTGCTTGTCAAAAAGCTTTTGGGGCTAGTTGAAATGATGTCTGGACTAGTAAATGTTAGCTTCAGCTGGCCCAAATGCAGGGTGCAAAGAAAATCACTTTTACAGCTTACCCTTCGGGCAAGCTGAAGCTAGCATTTACTAGCCCAGACGTCATTTCAACTAGCCCCAAAAGCTTTTTGTTCTTCTGTTATTCAAATTCCTCATAAAACATCACTTGCCCGTCGGGCAAGTTAAAAACAGAATTCACTAGCCCGATAGCAAAATCCACTAGCCCGGGGCTATCGGACAGTACTTTCTTTGCACGCTGAAATGGCAAGCTGTAAAAATGATTTTCTTTGCACCCTGTTACAAGTGATTAACCCTTTAAGCACAAATATCCACATACATTTCCTTACCAAATTTATTGAGATAGAATTCGATAAAAGATTAAAGCATTTTCCTTTGGTGATCATTTCATTAATTCTCATAACATTTTCTCTTGATGATATATTGATATTGTTGGGAGAAAACTAGTGTTCATCACTCTTGGCACTTTAAAGGACTAAATTTTGTGCAGTCAATAATATTTGGACAAAGTAAATGCCTACTGAATACTAATGGCTTTCTGAAGAAATACGATTTTGAAATAAACACCAGCCTTGCATAAACTAAATCAATATATATATTATACATTTAGCCAAGCATAAAAGCGGAGCATCTGATATCAATAATAAAAAAAATTATGATAATTATAATAATAATAATAAGATTGGGATATAGCTTGATCCCTTGAGGAGACAAGGTCACCTTAATACAAACTAGTAGTGTGAGAATCATGATGATGAAATGCCTCATACTGCTGCAAAAACTAGCTCTGAGAATCATCATCAAATCTTGTTATGATGCTCATACAGACCCAATATTTAAGAATCTTCGTATCTTACTGCTAAATGATATGTATCAAACAGAAATAGGTAAAGTAATGTTTCAATATAAAAGTGGGTTGTTATCAGATATACATATTTAATAACACTTTTATATCAAGGAATCAGGTTCATTGTTTTTTAATTCACTTAGTCCACACATTCTAAGCTCAGTTAGCTATCAACTTTTAAGAAAAAACTGAAGAACACCTTCTTACCTAACTTCTTCATTTCCCTCCATCCCCCTTTGTCAGCTTTGTGTTTTGTCTTTATTCATTTATAAAATTTATTTTTTCTTTCTCTCTCTTTTTTTGATACCTTACTCCTTCGTATTATTGCCACTCTGCCTTCGCTGTTCATTAAATTAATATCATGTTTATCATTTGTAATTTTACAGGGAAAGCCTAGTTGTATAAGCCTCATGGTTTCTTTGGGCTTTCTTGCCATATTCTGATGAATTCCTGTAATTTATTACTATCTCATAATAAGGTGGCAAAATAAGTAAAAATAAATAAATAGGATGATAATGATGATGATGATGATGATGATGATGATGATGATGATGATGATCAAGATGATGCTAAGCATCTTTTTTTTTTGACATTTGCAATGCAAGAAGTTATAAGCCAGTTGTAAAGACTAATCAAGGTGTGGTATTTTATCCCTTGGATATGGTGTCATTCTTTGCATTTGATGAATGGTGTTTATTCAGTGGGATGTCTAGTACGTATCATACCTGATTTTAGGAATACCAATTCCTCCTTGCACTATTTTATACAGTTTAGATTCATAAAGCAACTGAGGATGCCTTGCTTTGTGATGCTCAAGTTTCACAGCCACTTCCTGTAAAAGAAGTATACAGTGACTCATGCGTATAACTTTTCCTAAGTCAAATGTGTGTGACTTTCGTATTCATATTTACCCAAATTTCTGACAAAATCCAAAAACCTCTGAACAGCTATTCTGCAGACATTCCGACACCTTCTGAATATTACCAAAGATTCCCAAATATGTTCCCAGGATTTGCAAAGGTTGCCGAATGTAGCAGTGCAAAGCACCAAATTTTGGCACCATCTTGCCAAGATCACGCATATCTTGGTGAAATTACCAAGACAAGGTATCGTGAGACCTTAACTTATGATTTAGGATTAAACGAGACATTTTGTGCCGTTCACTGGACTTTTTGGCATGGAAACTGAATTCAGTTCCTCATGTTAATAGTCACTGAACAAGTAGTCCGGGATTATGGGTTATGCACGTGAAGTAGTCCTGTATGCATGTGATTGACATTCTCAATCTGCAGGCGTCTGAGACATGCATAACTAATGCACATGAGTTCAGTTGGCAGGTTTAAGTACTTGTTTCTATCTTGATAGTGAACACATGAAAAGAAGGCTTTACGAAAAAGAAATTAACAAAATAATAAGAAATGGCCTATTTTCATTGTTATGTTTGCATTTTCAGATTTGTGACTGTCATATCATTTGGTTGATGTGTTGAGTCTCACACCTGCGGCCTAAAGACATCAAACTCATGCATGAAGGACAACTTCTCACGCCTACTCACAAATCTGGACGAATAGTTCTTTAACGAATGATTAATAACAGAAATTCAATTCAGTTTCTCCAAAATTTTGCAAAAAGGTGCTTAATGATAACTTTCTCCCTTAGCTGCGAATCAGAACACACCAAAACTGTTACCTTTTGAATAGCTTCAGAGGTGCTCAAAGGTTGTCAGAACATCTTCAGACATACAGCTATTTCGAGAAAGGTTGTTGGAAAAAGTGCAAGCGACAATCCCAAAAGCTATTGTGGGAATGAGAGGCCACGGACATATGTTCGCGAGTGCTAATGGAAAGCAACAAAAGTAGGTTCGACAGCTGCAGTCGTTCAAAACAGTGTATTGATCATATCCCATATAACCTTTCGGGGTTGTCGCGTGCACATTTTTTCCGACAACCTTGCTCAAAATAGCTGTATATTTTCAGCAACATTTAAAAGTGCTTCTGAAGTCACTGCGACATTTACAGAAATCCCGGTCATGATAAGATGAAAATTTCATGCAGTTGACTCAGAATAAGTTAGTAGGTATAAAATGGCAGCAAGTGGGATTTTAAAAGTGAAAGTGGCTGACATTGATTTCAATAATCCGGGGGATTCAAAATGTTTTATTCCCGCTTTGAGCAGAAAAAAGTTTGCAGTTTAGAACTCTTCAATTGATTTATAGGGAAGGGAATAAAAAGTTAAGTCATAAACGTTTGTGACAGTCGAGGTTTCCTTTTAAATATGTGGGGTCGAAAATTAAGCTTATAAGCTTCTCACGGCATAGAAGATGGCTGAAATTTGTAGAATATTATTTCCTGGAGGAAGGATACCTAAGGCTCCCTTACAAAGATGGCGCTCTTGCCCAATATCAAGGGTTCTGGATCTCTTGCTGTGAGATGTTTTTCTAAGAATTTAATTAACACACGAGAATTTTGAAAAAGCCAATAAAAGTAAGGTGTATAAAAGTTATGGCAGGAGGGTACACTTCAACAGAAGTTTCAATATTGATATACGACCCCGTATATTACATATACGAACCTCGCAATTTGTAATGTTAATTCCTTGGTAGATATCACCAAATGAGCCACTGCCAATCTTCCGTAACAATTTGTATTTCCCTCCTACGATAAACTCGGAGCGCGCTGCGCTACTGGGTTTCTGCATTTTTAGAAACCTATAAACAAGAAACAAACATGAGCCTCTAATAAACGCGAGAATATAAATACCATAAGCTTCATATGAAATTAACAAGAATGTCCGTATCATACAGAAATAATATCACGGCTTAAGCAATATGCAGTAGGTTTTCCCTATTCCATTTGGTTTCCCTGAAAAATTAAGAGCAATAACTTCTGTTTACCTTGCAAAGGGTACAGTTTTATTAAGTAATTATTCCACCGCTGGGTTTTACGGCAAGAGCGGGCTGCGACTGATTATTCGATCAAGAGGTTTAAAATTACTATTAACTTCGAACAAAGGATCGCTCCTGTCAATTTGTCAATTATTATTTTGCGAGCTCAAAAGAAAAAAGAAACAGCCACTACGGTTACATTTGCGTCCTTCGACCCACTTGTTTTGCCATGTCTTGTTGTGGCTTATATTTTCATAAATTATTCAATTCATCTTTGATGGTCAGAACCCAGAAAACATACAAAAAAGTTCACGTTCATACACTCATAGATTTTTGTCTAGGGCTAATTCTTCCACGAACAATTGAAGACCGCCTTTGGCTTTCACAACTCTTTATAAAAAACAGATAAAATTGACCCAGAACAAGTGACAAAGGAACGTCACAGTGCCTGATCCGAACGAACTCTTTAGTGTTAATCATTTTTTAGGAAGATTTATTTGTCGGTTCAAGACAACTGTTTCTCTATCTACAATAAGTATTTCCTACCTTCAGAAGTGAACACCAATTTGTTTATGATCTTTGTCATGGGCTCTCGCCGGCAAAAGGCGAGCGAAATCTGTTTTTCGCTCACAAACTACAAAATTCTGAGATTACAGCCTAATCTCCATATTTCATCGAATGTCCTCCATGTTTTCTTTTCCTGTCCAACATAACTATTATGGGATGAGCAGTATCCAGTAGCAACGCAAAGTAATCAATATTCAAGATATCGATTACCGCGAACTCCAGGCAAGATGGCGGGCGCTTCCTCGAAGACCAGAGTCGTATTGTTAAGTTGCGGATCTTTCAATCCCATCACTTTTCTTCACCTCAGAATGTTCGGTAATGATATAGCGAAGAATCAATATTCTTTGTATGTGTCTTTGCCATTTTGGTCTGTTTCCGATGTCAATATTTTGCTTTCACAATTGTTTGTTGATCTGACAGAATTAGCGAGAGATGCACTTCACACAACAGGGATTTACTCAGTTATCAGGGGATTTATATCTCCAGTAAATGATGGATACAAAAAGAAGGTTGGTGAATTTTAGATCTTTTACGATTTCAGTCAGGTTAGGTTTACCTGAACTTAACCTAGCCATTATTTGCATGTAAGCTGATAAAAATTTGATTTGCAATTGCTTCCGTTTTATTTGTAAATATTTGCTCGAAATGCCTTTGATTACAGCCTGTTTCCGCCACCATTTAACATTTATGCATAACTCAAAGAGTTTGTTTCGACGCCTACTTCTTGCTCTTGTTTGGAGGAAAAAAATCGAGGTGAAAAAACACACTAAGCCCGGCTTTTAGTGTTCTTACGAGAACGTGTGGGTGGGTGGGGGTGGAGTGTTGGAGGTGAGGCCGAGGTTACAAACTCTTCGAAATTTTTCACATCGGGCCTTTCTCCTTACCGCAAATTTTCATATTAAATGAGAACCAAAATTTTGTTTTCTAAGTACAAATATCCCATACAGTCTAGTTACAGTGTAACTGGTATTATAAATTTCTTTCACCTCCCTACGTAATATGTAGTAGGGTTTCCCCACTCTCCCCACCCTAAAGAAATTCATGTTAGAAAACGTATGTAAAGAACAGTTTCCAAAAACAAAACTGTGCCATGTGACTGCTGGTTAACTCATATTTGGACATACATATGTAATCAAAGAAAAACAAGGTTTCATTTCCCTTTTCAGTTAAAAAAAAACAACACCAACAACCTTTACCATATACAATTTCACCAATCTGTGCTTTTATGGAGAACAAATCACTGTCCTGTTATGATTATCCAGTCTAGAGGTGTAATTTCCAACAATAAATTTTGGGGCCTCCATGTGGGTGTTAACCTACAGAACTGATCTATTTTGTTGCACATTTCCATCAAATCATCAGTTTTTCTGGGAAAATTGTTGAATATGAGCAATTTTTTGTGTAGTAGCGCTACTAGCAAGCTCTGTGCAACCACAACAATGACAGAAACTAGAAAAATAAATAAGCGAAACAAACATTCTGAACGTGCAGCATATTAATTATTTTTTTGGCAGTTTTCTTTGCTCTTATTGTAAGACAACAGAGAACAAGCTAAGAGAGCAAATCCCTGTGCCCCATGATAATTTTTTTAAATCTATGTAAAGTGCGCGCGTGTGCTGCGTAGGTTATTTTTATCTGTTGTTTCCGTGGCCCGCATGGTCTTCGTTCATGTAAACGTCACATGTTTGGCTGTCAAACATTTGAAGTTTGACAGCCATCATAGTAATTAGCGCCAGGAGCCGATACCATCGGCTCTTGTTGTTGACCTGTTTTGGATCAGCACGTTCCGCTCATAATTTAGGAATGAATTTCATTTACAAAGGGATTGCAGTATTGGAGTCAAAATTTCACTTTGAGATTAAAGATTGAGATTTTTTAAAGTAACGAATTTAAAGTAACAAATGTTGAATTCTGACACACTGTGAAAGCCAAAGGCAAAGGTTATCATGTGCGAAACACAAAACCTTTAATAGGTGGCTGGCTTCAATTGTTTATGCAAATTGCAAGATATTTTTTGTCTTTTTCCAGGAATGTTTTTCTTTCAGAAACAATACAGTTACTTTTAAGAATTATTCTTAAGAGTTTCAAACTGCATTACTTCTACTTAACACCCAATACTTGTGATGAATATTTCGCCCTGCGAACACAAATCAGGTCAGATGCTTCAAGCTGTTAGACAATCACTAACCTGGATGCCAGAGACTTCTTATGCGCGGTTTCCGGTTTTGGTCAATTCTTTATAGTGAGCGGTGTGCCCACATTTGTCTAGCACCCTCTCAAAATTCAAATGTTTGGCGGCCAAACATTCATGAATGTTTGAACCCACTTTGAGCCTATTTTCTCGTTACATGTCCATGGTTGGATCTAAACTACGGTATCACAGCTCGCGTGTGTGCATGGATGTCACAGGAGGTGACAGTTGTCGTTTTTGTACAATGTTTTAAAATGATGTAGCGAAGACCTCAATTACCAATTTCCGTCGAGTCGGAACCGCTTTCTCTAGCGAACTTCCACAAGCCAGGACCGTTTTGCTCTTTGGCAACTACTCTGGCCAGATTTTTCCACATAGAAATCATATGACTTGTCGGCGAATGGCGAAAGTAATACCAAGTTTGCATGTCATATTGCTTGCTGTGTGTGATCAGCAGTGAAATGAATTACCCGCCAAGTTTAAAATTACATGACGCCACTCAAACGGACCAATAAGGTAGCGTCCTTAAAACAACCACGCAGTATGACACATGCAGAACCAAGAATAGATTGAAAATAATTTTCATGGAAAGAGGGTCATGTATCGGGGATTTGCTCTCTTAGATCATTCTCTCTTGTGTAAGACTATTACTTTTACTGTGATTGAAAACAGAAATGGTGATGCGATCATCGCTTCAATCTTTAAGATCATGGCTTCATCAATGACGATCGTCCCGACTTCAATTTCATCAGAAATACCTACTTGTAAACAGAGGCAGACAGAAGTTTTATGTACTGGAATAACAGCGAAGATACAGTGTAAAGTAATGTGAATTAATGCATGCTTGTTACATGTATGTAGGACCTTATCAAATCAGAGCATAGAGTACAAATGTGCAAGCTGGGAGTCGGAACATCTGACTGGATCAGGTAAAAATGACAGTGTTGTACATGTACTTATGATTCTAACCTTTAAGGGAAATAAGACAAGGGTTTGAGTTATCAGGAATTGTAATTATCAGGGATAGCAACAAAATAATAATGTGCACATATTTGACTCCAGGGGCCAGTGTTTCTCAAAAAGGTTGGCTAATTTTTTTGGCCCAAAAGCAAATTTTGAAATCAAGACCTGTTGAATAGCAGCACAGTTCCTAAGCTCACAAACCCGAGTCAATTTTGCTTGGTCAATAATGATAACCTCATTTGTCTAACCAAAAACATTGGTTAAAAGAACTATAATTGGTCATGTTCGCAAAATAAGGTGAGCCAATGAAGGATAGCTGTCAACAAAAAAGGGATTTGTCGCCTGACAAAAAATAGTAGGCCACCAAATCTTCTGAAAAGAATCTTTGAATTTTGGTGAGAGTAGAGAAAACTTTGTTAGGTAAAAAAAATGTGCGCACTAGAAAATATTGGCTTCCTGTTGACAGATTTTTTTGCAATACAAACAAAATTTTGCTTTAATAGTGCAAACACTGGGCCTTTGATATTGAATGCAAACACAGCAATTTAACATAAAACAGCTTTCCAGCCCCATAAAGTTAGCGGGAGTTTGAGAAATTGGCCCCTGCAACAACAACATATTTATCAAAATATTTACAATGAAGAATCAGCAAAAAACAAAGTAAAAATTATTGAAAGAGAATAATTTAAAAACTGTTGCAAAGCATCCTGTGTGACAGGAATTCAACGGGGGAAAGGGAGAGATGAGGGCAGCTTCAGGTTCTTGGGTGTCTGAATTTCTCCTTCCCCTTCTGGCAGTACTTGTTCCTCAGGCCGACAGAGAAGATACGAGGCAAACTATTAGTGGGTCCAGAATGCACATTCTGTTTATCTTAGGTACACATTTTAAGCCTGGTTTCCATATGATCACTATGATGACTGTGATCGCTGTAGAAAAAGTTCAGTGATAGAAGCAATCATATGGAAACCATACTCTCCAGTGATTGCGATCACAGTGATAACAATCCCTGAGATAGAAAAAGTGATCATTGTTGCTGTGATTGCTGTGATCACTGGAGAGTGGTTTCCATATGATTGCTTAATCTATCACTAAACTTTTTTTAAAGCAATCACAGAAATCGCAGCAGTCTTAGCAACCATATGAAACCAGGCTTTACGGAAAGACTAGTTACATAATTTCATTTGGAAGATTCATTCCCTGCCTCTGTTATTGTATTTTGGATATGTAAAAGGCACATCAAAGTTGAGTTTTTCTGTTCCTTTTGTGACAGGGTTCATGACTGGGAAAGCAAACAGCCAGGCTGGCTAGAGACAATGAAAGTTCTTACTCACATAACAGATGAAGTACAGAATGATTTTCCAGGTTAGAGCTAGCTATCATTGTTGTTTTTGGTACTGTCACTTAGAATGATCGATCCATTTGGCACAAGGTCCAATAAAGAGGTGTCCATCTCATGCTGGCTTCATCAGAAAATTTTAAGTACTAAACAGTGGAAACGTGCTCTATGGACACCCACTTACTACGGAAATTATAGTAGAGGAAGAATAGAACTAAAACGAAATTCATAGCGGTTTGATATTCCCTTCCTTCTCGTGTACAATGCATGTCCCAGACAACTTGAAATCTTACTATCAGCCCTGCACAAGGACCAGCTGGCTTGGTTAAGAGATACCTCAGTGAAAGTTGTGTTCTGTTTTCCTTGCAATTGAAACTGTTGATGTTTACGAATTTGCTTTGAATTGGCTGGTAATAGCTCATTTTTCATATAGAGGATTTTGGCAGAACCTGTAGACAAGTTTTCCCAGTTTTATTTGAACACTTTAAATTGATGGGCTGGCATGTAAATTCATTTGTACATTTGGGACGAATGTTAAAGCATCAATCAAAATAATTTATTTTTGAACGGTGGCCAAACACAATGACCGGCCAAAGGAATTTCTGCTCAGTGAAGCCTCATTGTTGAACAGTCAAAATATTGGGCAAAAAAATGTTGTGTAATTTTCTATCAGTAAACGTGATTGCATTTTTACAATTTAAGAGACAAAATCTAACGTTTACTGGGTTAGAATAAGAGAGTGTGTCACCAGTTAACCCTCTAAGTCTGAATATCCACTCACAAATTCTCCAAACAGATCTCCATACATTTCCTTACAGAATTAGTGGTGAGAATTTGTTCAAAGATCAAAGCATTTTCCCTTAGGTGATCATTTTATTTATTCTCATAAACTTTTCTTTTAATTATGTATTGATATATTTGTTAGAAGAAAATTGACGTTGCATGTATAGTGAAGTTTTTGGCCTGTCATGATCAAGATGTCATTCTGGCCGCCCATTGTCCATTGACTGGCCATTGTTTTGAGCCCTAAGTAAGGTGCAAGTCTCTTAACCCCTTGCCTACCAGAGCCAAATACACCCAGCAACTGGCAGCCATTTCTCAACGACCGGGGTTTTTTTATTCAAGACAACTCGAACGACTGGGCTGTTGGTAATTTCATTTGTCTGAGGATTATACAATATACGTCCTCAGTCGCTGAGCGACCTCACACAGGACTTACCTGTTGTATATATATATATGTCCTTGGCAGACAAGGGGATTAAAAGGTTATTATGAAACTTAGGTTAACCTTAATCTTCTCACTAACCCAGTTATTGGGCTCATTTCAACAGGCCTTTAGTGGGCCCTTGACAGTCATACCAAACATCATTTCACAGGCCCAAGTCCTGTTGTTGTGAAGTTGCTTTGTGGAGCTGATCTTTTAGAATCATTTGCTGTTCCAAATTTGTGGAAAGATGAAGATGTAAGTCCTAGCAGGGTGGGGGGTGTGGGAGTGGTGGGAAGGAAGTGAGGAGACTGGAGTGACAGCCAAAAAATATATGAACATCACATAGAATATATGAAACATCAAGCAACAGTGAAGTCAGGTCCTAAAAAGTAACCTTGTTTTCTAAATGAAAATAATGCTTTGAATGATAAAACCATTAAATGCATAACAGAGGCCCTCAGTATCAATAAAATAGGATGTACTGTAAGTGCTTGAAATAGCGCACAGGGTGTTTAACTATTCGATTTCCTGACTCGAGAAGGGCGAGCTAATTTGAAGGGGCTACCATAAGTTCTAACTTTTTTTGACGTTACCTATTGTTTGTTGATGACATCTTTTATTATAACCTTCCTGCCAACAGATTGAAAAAATTGTGGGAAAACATGGTCTTGTTGTGATATCGCGGGCAGGATCAAATCCAGAGTCTTTCATCTACGAGTCAGACGTTCTTACAAAGTTCAAAGTAAGCAACTTAATTAAGTTGTAGTAAGGACAGTTTTAACAGTTTTATCACATGTATTAGAAGTATGTAGATGACTTTATGCACTTGTTTCAGAGTCGCGAAGGAAAAAAGTATACTTGACAACTGGCTCATTCCCTTACATGGGAGTATGATTATATGATCATTTTTTTAAAACAAGAATCTGTCTTTACTATTTTACTGGTCCACAGAATAACATTCATATTGTCACGGAGTGGATAGCAAATGATGTTAGTGCTACAAAAATAAGGTAAAAAATTAATGGTATGTTGTTGTCAAAAAAATACATATCGTAATGATTCCATCTATATTAGCTGCATCCCAGGATGTTTTTACTTTGATACGACAAGGGATTAGAAGGCACTTTAACTCGAAAACCATGGGTTTATGTCTTGTTTGAGAAACAGCCAAATGTGTATATTTACAACACTGATATTTATTTTAAAAGTTAAACTACCGTAAATCCTCTATTAAGCCCCCCTGGGGGCTTTTTATTTCAAGCCCATTTGAGCGGGGGGAGGCTTAATAGAGACGGAGGGCTTATTTAATTTAGAAACGAAGATGGAATCAGTTCTCCATAGAGAACTAGAATACAAAGTGGAAAAGCTCAAGTACAAGAAGTTTTAGGCCATGCAGCTGAGGATCAGAATCAAGTCCAGTTGGTAAATAAACCATCCCAGATCAGTCCACACAATGTTTCACTGTCGTGATTGATTAATACAGTCTATCATTAATTTATTACTGAAAAATAATTAGGGGTGGGGAAGTGGGGCTTAAGAGAGAGGGGGGCTTATTAACTTTCTTCCCCTGAAAAGGGGGGCTTATTTGAGAGGGGAGCTTAATAGAACATTTATGGTAACAAATTTACTGTGAATAAATTATTCACTTAATAATGGTAGAGAATTTTTGAAACTCACTAGTCTATTCAACATCGATAGCTTCAGTCAGCGGTCACTTTCATTAATAAGCTTCTTGTACGTCTAATTCAGGAAGACAAAGGGATCTTTCCTGGGGATCATTGTCGCCTGATTTGCTTATGGCTTGATATTCTACTGTCTTGATCTCAATGTAATATTGTCTTTATTTCCTTTTTGTCAGGAGGTCTTTAAGAAGAGGTGAAAGTGTGAAATATCTGATACCGGATGAAGTGATTGACTACATTAAAGCAAATAACCTGTACCCTTCTACAAAGTAAACTATTTGCATTGCAAAAATGACTTTCCAGTAAAGTAGTTTAAATGTTCCAAATTGTCGCAATGAAATATTTATTTAGCAGTTAGGCCCTAAAGAAAGTCTTGATCCCAAATGATGATTATTTACTTTATGTAACACCACAGGACATCATCTTTAGACTGGATAGAACTTCACTACACATCTTCATAAATAGTAATACTCTGGAAGTGAAATCCTATTATCAGTTAGCAGATTTGAAGTTCCATTTCTAAGAAACTAATGCATTACAGAGCCCCATCCTTTGGACATTTGTCCAAACTTTCAAATATCGAAAAAAAAAAAGAGTGAAGGTACTTTTTGAAGTTTTAACCTTTCATACCTCCTTAATAATACAGTGGTTGTTATCTGCTGAACAGATGTGGGTTTATTTATGCAGAGGAAAAACAATAAAAATCTTGTTTTTGTTACTTTCGTCGTTAATTGTGAATTTCTGCTATCAACCCTGCTATCTGAATGCGTGAAACAGTCTGCTTACAAGAGACACTTAAGGATGTTTATTTCTTAACAGTTAATCAGGATCAGTGCAACATTCCCTCCCTGAACCCAACGTTTTTCTGTAGGCAGTTTACCAGGGTCTCATTCTAATCCATCAATTACTATTATCAATTATTACTATAGGGTAGGGAGACAAAAGAAATAGTGGCAGGGGCGGATCCAGGATTTTTTTTAGGAGGGTGTGCACTCGTCTCTTGCTCTACTTCAACACCAATAAACCACATAGTTATAACCCCTGCACCCTATCCCTAGCCCTGAGAGGATCAACCTAGGTTAAAAAATTTTAACCTGAAAAATTATTTCATTTTGACCTGTAACAAACACAATGTTCTTGGGACAAATCTAAGGTGAATCTTACAATTGTACTGAAGGTAAACATCATCTGGTATTTCTAGAGTGGGACTTTTTGTAGTCCTTGTGTTCTCAACCATCCACATTGTATTAGCAAAAAACAACCTTTAATTAGGTAATTTAATTTGCCAGTAAAGCTGTTGTTGTCTTATGAGGCCAAAACCAATATTGCCACGACTATGCTGGAAATTGCACTTTTTAAAGTTTTATTAGATGGATCTATGTTGAGCAAAAATATGTGTTCAAATAAGGGTGCTCGGCAATAGAACTCCAGCAGAGCCAAATCTCCTTGTGATGGGTAAACTTTTTAAAGGTCAGGTAATACAGGCAACATTTTCGCACAACTTGTCGTGCAACATTGTTGCGCTGCAAGTTGAAAAGCGTTGTTGCCCGTATTACCACCCTCGCTCTCAACTTGTTATGCAACAAATTTCAATGTTGCAAGTTGTGGTAATATGTTGCGCAAAGTAGACCTGAGTTCTACCTTTTGCAACAAACTTTCAATTTTATCATGTGCATCACAACTTGCTACACTTCACAACACTTGTGATTGGTCAATTTTCCCGCACCAAAAACGAGGGAAAGATGGTGAGTAAGCGCACGCTTGTCCTTGGGCATATCCGATTTGTGCAGGAAGTAAACATGGCTGAGGTTGTGGAGGTTGAGAATGTTGAGACCCAGGAATAAGTATCGGCTCCTGTGAGACCCAAAATTGTGTATTTATTAGTGAAAAAATGTCAGAGGCCCAAAGAAAAGATTTGTGCAAAGAACTTGAAAAGCACCCATGTCTGTGGGAAACGTGTGGACCAGAGTATAAAAACAAGCCACGGAGGTCAAGAGCTCTGGATGAGTTATGTCAAAAATTTAACATTTCACTTAAACTGTCTTAAAAAACAACTACATAGCCTTAGAAGGGCATTGACAAGGGAAGTACAAAAAGGAACCACAGAAGGTCAACAAGCCATTTTGTTTGCTGACACAAAAAAACACTGTTGACCAATCACAACACATGATTTTCTTTAAGAGCCGCAAGTTGCAACATCGAAATTTGTTGCGTGACAAGTTGAGAGCGAAGATGGTAATATGGGCAACAGCCCTTTTCAACTTGCAACGCAACAATGTTGCGAGATAAGTTGTGCGAAAATGTTGCCCGTATTACTTGACCTTAAGGGTTACAATATTTTTCAGTTTCAGAAATGAAGCAGCTTACATTAAATTCTAACCTAGGAATTATGACACCAACTACACCAGAACAACGAACAAACAACATTATAACCATTCAGCTTTTGGATGGGTTAGGGAACAAGCAATACATTCCAAGCTGAAAAAAACATTTGCTAAAAGATGCAGTGTAAAATGCAGACTGTGAACTGACTGTGGACCATTGTTTTTTGGGTAAAACAATGGGACTATCGTTGTCACGTTCTCATTTGCATGGTGAAGACAGTAGTCCACAGTCTGCGTTTTACACTGACCGGTTGCTAAAAAGTAATTTTCCATTGATAACAATAATTGGGGCTACAGACTTAAATGAACAAAAACCTTTATTTCCTTCAAACCTATTGTACTTTCTTTTTTGGTTTGCCACATTAATACATGACTTCTGATAGACCTCCCTGGAATAACTGAAGCACAAACTGACTGCAATACAGACACTAATACCAACATTTATTTTTGTAAGTTTGGCAAGTCTTTTACTCATCTTTAGCAAACTTCCAAAAATAAATAATCTTTTAAATTAACTCCCTGTACAAGCTTAGAGAAATACATCGAAAATATGATATGTAGAATTGAACCAAATGGCTTTCATACACAATATTGTTAAAAATATATTAATATTTTTATCTAATTTACAGTGACAAACATGTCTCCAAAATTAATATCCCAAAGAAAAATGAAAAAAAAAATGAGACTTTTGAAGTAAATAAAATATTGGCTATTGCAACTCCAGTATGTACATGTTAATGCAGATAAAGAGCTTTTACAGTTAATATGGACACAGAAATTTTTAGCAGCTCTGCAGATTTTTCCCAGAAATCTGTCAGGCCAAAACGTCAAAATGAAAAATGGTGAATCCTACAATATTTTTCATTTGAAAGTCTTTGTCAAACTATTATTGTACCCAAGTGGCTAAAAATCAAAATCAGCCCCTATAGATTTGACTAACAAGAATGAGAAAGAATTTAGAAATCTGTCCTAAAGTTATTCTCCTAGAACTCTGACTCTTTCTTGCTGATCAAGTTGCCCTCTAGCATACAGTGACTTAATGTGGATTTCCACTGTCGCGTAACTTTAAGGTGCATAAACAGAGGCAATGTATGGAAAGTCACGTGTACACGTAAAAGTTGAACCTCGCTCAACGAACATACACACACAAAAATTTTGAGACAGTGAAAATCCACCCTAAGAAAAAATAACACTGGTGTGAGGATTACATGAGGCACACAAACTTGGATAAAAAATCCAATCCATAAAATAAAATTAATGCCATTGACATGCAAAATAATACTCAGTTGAAGATCTACATACATGTAAAGAGATTTCAAACAATATTTTGACAATTCCTTCCTTTAATGCATATTTGCAGTCTAGGCTAATGGGGCACAGAAAATTTGTAGGCAACACAATCTTTCCTCATTAGTCTTGACTGCATTTGTTTACAACAATCGGCTCTAAAACAAGGGTCAATTTAATAAAACTTTCACAGACTGTATAATAGTTACAAATGCAGCTATTGTTTTATGGTCTGAAAACAATAGCACTTTACACTCATAATTTTACACTTGTAAAAATTCGATTAAATTGACCCGGTAATAACTAGTGCCTAAGTTCAAAATATACTACCCTGCATAGCAAGTATTCCTACGTGTAATACGATGCAAAAACAAGCAAAAAAAGAGGGCTGGAATACAATTAATTTATTAAATATCTTGAAATTTCTGGGAGCTGCCTTCTGAACTCTTTTAGGCCCCAGTATCCACAAACAAACCCTGCAGACTGATCCTCTATACATCCCCTTAGAGAATCAGCTGGGAGAATTTGTTTACAGATCAAAGCATAACCATTATTAATTCTCATAACTTATGTATTGATGACATTAGGAGAAAATTAATGTTGGACACTCTTGGGTCTTTAAGAGTTCAGAAGCTTCTAGTGGGGGGAAGAAGGAGAAATAATATTGAATCCCTTGAGGGTTATAATGATTTGGATAGTACAATCCATAGTCAACCTTTCAGCTTCTGGGATGTAATGCAGAATAACAACTTGCTCATCACCAAAGCGATTACTGCAAGATGCAGACTAGGGCTTTACCCTCCGAGTTGACTGGTGCATTGTACAGTACCACAGGGAGTTTTCATGATTGACATTTTAAGCTACCTGTACACAGTATACATGAAAGAGCTGCTTTCCACTGAACTTGACATTGGTCCCAGTAAACTGTCTGAACTATTGTAGCTGCAAGACAGGGATTTTGCAGAACTTACATCATCAGATTCACAAGTTGTAATACTTATAGCAGGTGAGGGTATGTCCCAGTTAGCGGACATCAAGGCACATTTTTCACTTGAACATACATATTCCACATTGTCTTCACTTGCATTTGTAAGTTCGTGAGTGTCTATAAGCTCCTCAACTGAAGCATGCTCCCCGTATTTTCCATCAAGAAATCCATCTATTTCCTGTACTGGAAGCTGAGTTTGTAAGAACAAGTGAAGTCCAGCAAATGAAAGGAAGTCATCAACTTTAACAATCCTAGCAAAAAATATCAACAACATGACATTATTTAACTCTCAGAAAAAAGGATTTTCTATTCAATAGTGTTTGAATTGTGTCATACACATTGTAAAAAGCTCTGCTGGCTTTATCCACAACAACCTCTATTTTGAATATCTAGAACGTTTAGCTCACTAAACAGAAGAGAGCAAGCAACGGCAAAGATTTGACAACTGGCCCAAGTGTACCAGCAGAAGTTCAAAAATACTTTAGTACATATTCTACATGGACAGATTATTAGACAAAGTGGGTGCAATGATTTCTTAAGCTGATCTGAGTTCCCATATAAAATGGGTTTAATCTCTTTGAGATGCAAGAAATAATAGGCCATTTGCACTAAGAGGCATGTGACACCGTTTTTATGAAAATGAAAGTTATATGGTTTTGCCTTCGAAAAACAATTAGTGGGTCATATCTTAAACAAAATAATGGTGATTTGGTTTTTCAAACCCACACCATTTCCTTAAAATGAATAAGTTCGTAAATGGTCACGTGACCAGAATGTGATTTTTAAATTATGAATTACCTCTCTCTGAACACAAATTTTGCACTTAAACTTCAAGGAAAATGTTGAAAAGATGATGTGATAACGTTTACAGCACATTTGAGCGTAACCATGAAACGTTGAACAAGATATAAGCAACAAGTAGTTTTGGCCGCCATGTTGGAGGGCAAGAGCATGCCCTCCAACATGGCGGCCAATACAAATCATACTACTTTGCTCAAAAATCAAAGTGCCACAAAATATCTCCCTTAAATGCGTTTCCTCTCAAATTTCGGGTGTAAGATAATTTTTGTGTGCTCTAACAATTTTTGGCATCAGCAAGATTCCAACTCATTGTTTAAAGGAAGCATTGGTCACGTGCCCTCTTAGTGCAAGTGGCCTATCCACTGGATAACGCAAAATTGGTTTTCAGAAGGGAATACTTATCCACTGGAGAGCAATTTCTCGGGTGGATAGCGCTATCCAACCTTTGAAGAATGGGAGCAAGATGAATGAAGACTGGACACTGGACAAAGGATCTTGTACAATAAATTTTTTCATTAGCAAGTCAAGCATATGAATACATACCACATTACTATAGCGTAAACATTGTTTCTGGAGAATGAACAGTAGCCTTTGGTTCACACAAAAATGCTCTCTAGAAAATGAATTTTTATCTCTTTTATTCGCAACTCACTCTATTAAAAAATCTTGTAATCCTTGCTGTCTTGCGTCAACCACTTCTTTACTAAATCTTCCAAAATAATTCTTGGGGGGAAGATCTGGCACGGTTCTGTTCCTGAGAAGACAAAACAAACATATTAGACTGAGTATCATCATAAGTACTTTCCATGAATGTCAGGGCATTTTCAAGGAAGACCCCTGTGAAACAAACAATATCGCCATTGAAAAGGAAAAAAAGGACTTGCCTTATAATTAAAAGCAAACTGTACATACCATATTTATGAGTAAAACAAGATATTTCTCAACTAAGCTGCATCTTAATAAGACCCAAAATCATTTAAAAGTGTCATTTAAATGGACAGTTTGTGTCTTATTAGGATGCACCTTATATGTCTCATTTTTCATCATCTAATTGGCACTCAATATTCTTTACCCCTATTATAGTAGGCCAGGACACCGAAATATTGCTCTTTTGTACCAACAAAGGGGAATGTAATATGTTGTGGTTGAAATTTTTGAATCAGTTTTTCTGTAAATTTTATCATTTGTCCCAGAAAATTTGCAGGAAATGGAACTGAGGAAATCAAAATTTAACGGGCATGACAGTATCATTTAAAATATTACTATTGATCACAGGGGACATAAAAAAGGTTCAAAAGATCAAAATGTGCTAAGAACCATTTTTTTTCTTAGCACATTTTGACGTCATCTGCAATCTATTTCCCAACAGATGCACCTCAACAATGAATCTATTTGTTAAATAGAGCATGGAAACAATGCGATGGCAGCACAATTTGGTATTGTCTGTCTCTGGTAGTGTGTGACTTTCTATTATGCTGACAAGATTAGTGTTTAATTAACTGATAATCAGTTAATTTCACACATTTGGAGGACAAAGAATTTGAATGTGTTGGTTACAAAAAATTGCAGTTCCCTCCTTGCCTTTTCAAAGTCTTCCTTTAAAGATTGCCTGGCTCACACGTAACACGCTTGCAGCACGGCAATCCTGGGGGACTACTAGCAGTCTAAAAATTTTGTCACTGTGAATGTTGGCATCAAAGTATAATCCCAGATTGTTGGAAAAAGAGAAGTTTTATGAGAAGTGCCATTTTTGTTGCCTTAATTAGGAGGCTTGAGCTTACACTGAGGACAAAATTCACACCAAGAGTAATAATTTGTATGTATGCGAGCATACATACAGTGGAACCTCTATAGATCAAAGTCCTCTTTTTGCCCCAGTAATAGTAAAATGTATGGAGAAGAACCTTGATACAATGAAACCTCAATGTAGGGAACAGATTTTCTCAGTCCCTTGGCCTTTCGTCATATCAAGGTTCCACTGCACAAGAAGAACAGAAGGTTTTGAAATTCTCCTTTTTTATAATACAAATAAGTGTTGTATGTTTTTTGTGGCTGCCCTTACTAGTAAAAAAGCATAAATCTTATACTTGTGCCATAAGGATCCATACAGACATTGCACCCAGGGGTAAATGTTTAAACCATTCAACCCTTTAGCTCTTTTTATGGAAATCAGATATTTCCATCTCTCCACCATCACTTACATTCCAAATCCGTTTATCTCAGTACTGCACAATTTTGCTCTGAGCCAGCAGAAATCGGAATATCTCCGTCTCACACTAGAAAATTTTCTGAAGAAAGCTTTATTGTTGGTCTGAAAGAAAGAAAGCCATGTTTAATTGACCGCAAAAATGACAAGTATTTAAGCCATCTTCAAGAATGCGTTAGATTATTTTTACATAAGCTCATGTTAGCTGGATGAATAAAGTAAGACGTAAATTTGCCCTTACAAATGGTTAAGTTAGCAAAGAAGTTACACAGAAGATGAGCACCAGCATGATAGAACTTGTCCTCTATAAGCCATGGCTCATTTATACATGAGTGAAAAAAAAATTAGCGCCTCATGTTAGTGAATTATCTTCATAGCAAAGAAGGCCTCGTATAACCCTTAGCGAGGGTTCGTAGCAGAAATGCAGAGAAACAGAGAAACTTACCTCGATAGTTATCTCGTAGTCGACAAACTTTTTAGTATTGCAACCATGAAGTTTAGGTTGAGTGACCTTAACTTTCACAATCTGAGGGTAAAAATTCAAAAACACTGGACGTTACGTAAACGCCAACCTTACACAAAAAACACGAAGTAAGTTCATTTACAAAATTTGCTACAAATTACGATTTCAATCTACTATCTATCGATCCATATGTCGCCCTAGAAAAAAAAATTAAATGATTTGTACTTTGCAATGAAGGCTTGATCAAAATCAGTTTCTTGAAAGCTAAATTTGATGAGAGCGCGCCAAGCTGATGAAATACAACGACCATGTTTACACTTCGCTTTCAATCGAAAACGAAATTTTACACACCTCCGTATCCTCCACCGGCGTTATAGTCATCGTGTTACAATTTTTGTCTCCGGTACGAGGTCATATGATTATTTTTTACGAAGAAAAAGAACAGACTTGTGATCAAAAATCTCCAACAAGGAACTTTCACATGAAAAGACACTAAAACACTACGCCGGTGTCTTTTATAATTGTTTGGCCTGACGCAATCGGCACAAGTGAGGCACGTGATGACGGCACATGACTTTTGACCAATGTCCAGCCTTGCGTTACATAGAGCGTGACAGTGACAGGTGCTAAAGTCCCTTTCAAAAGATTTCTCATAAATTTACGTATTCCATAGTCAAAAAATTACCAGGCAAATTTTCAAAATTCCCTATTAAAAAAAAAACAGGGGAAATCCCAATATGAGGAAACCGTTGACTTTTAACTCAAGTATCAAAAAACACTTAGCGAATAAAGGATTTTGTGACAAAGTGTCAGTCACTTTCAAAAAATTAATGTTACAACAATAGTTATTTTTGGACAAAATAATACTAAAATCTGTTATTTCCAAAATAACGTTTGCTGTAATTCTGATCGAAAATAGCAGAATCTTATCCTCATGCGCTTTACGGTCTTTACGAAGTCTTAAAATTCTTATCGACTGGCTGCGTATTAAAACTGACTAGAAGGAAGTGACCAGTGACCACGAAATACTGTATACTGAAAAATAACTCAGTAAAAATAAAGATGGACTGAAAGGATGGAATCTCTCAGTAATGAAACAAACCTTTGAGGATCCCGGTTTTGATCGAGCTTTATCATCCCTACGATCTCTTGGCGGCTCCGCGGCCTTTGCTTGTGCTTCTCTCTTGGTCTCGCTTGAATCACAAGATTTCATTTCTCGGGTGGACTATTGTAGACGCAGTTTTACGTGGTCTCTTTGCATAATACTGTTGTCATTTCAGTGAAAACTGAAAGGAGCGAATCAGCCAGCGTTCAATCCCTTTGGTGGTATTGTTAATGTTTTGAACCCCGTAATTTTCACTTTTTCATGTGCGGAAATTGGCATCCGTCACGATTGTAATAGATTGCTCGGGCCTATCACTTTCTCCACTTCCGGTACGCTCTCTTGGCCACTGCACAGGCTCCCCAGTGAGGTTCGCCGTCGACTTGTGGAAGATGGGAAGTAATAGAGACTTTTATCCCCCTTCCTATAGCTACTCTCCCGTAATGCTTGTTTCCATCTTATTGCAAGTACATGCGAAATGCACTATACCAGCCTACACCTTACACGCAATCGGCGTCCACGCGAAAAACGGGAACCGAGGACGATTATATTATACCTTAGTTTTAAGCGCCCTCTCATTAGCTCTCAGCTAGTGCCAAAATATAAATAAGAACGCTCTTAATAGCGGTGAGTCTTGCTTGCTTGAAGATAAGTTACGTTATCAAAGGCGCTGCTGCTGTTACGCTTTTTTTCGTTTTCAATAAAAAACGAGTGTTATATGTCACAACGTAAATACTCAAAACGCGCAAATTGCAAGGAGAGACCCCGGAGAGACATGCCGCACATCTTAGCTTCACGCCGATGTGAGACTTTTGAAAACCTTTTACATACTAGTATTGATATTGCTCCAGTGTTCCTTGGGTGCCAGAGGCTTCTCATTTCCGGTTTCGGTTAAGTCTTAAAAAGCGACCTGGCTGTTTTATGGGTTATACCACAGGTAGCCCAAGCTCGAAATATGAGCATCGGCGAGCATCGGCATTGTTGCGTAACATTCAAAATATTAGGATTTGTATGAGAAAAAAACCTATCGTTTCTGTATCCTACGAAAATGAAAGGATTTCAATAAAAAACAGCTTACCTTACTTAAAATGTGTGTTACGTCTCTACTGTGTAGTCCCCGGGCCGATTTATGGCCATTTTATGGGTTTTTATGTAAACGGTTTTCTCTCTATATAAAGGTTTAGAGAAAACCGTTTACATACTACTAAACCCACCTGACCCATAAAACGGCCATAAATCGGCCCGTGGA